GGGGGGGGGGGGAGGGAAAAGAGGGTCGGGTGTACTCTTGTGGTTTAACAAAGAAAGACAGTTAAACACTACCGTCTCCCCCCGAACATAACGCACCCTGAAAATGAACGTATACAAGGTATGTTTCCGGCCCGATACAGGCAAAATGGGGGTGCGTTGTGTTCGGGGGAAGACGGTAGGGAGGCAGTCATTCGGTCCAGGTAAAGGAGAGCCACGACCCAGAATTGTGGGTTCATGATTGCTTGAATTTTCAGATTTGTATGAGGGACGCTGGACCCGGTTTCCAGCAGAGAAGAGACCAGACCAGATTATTTAAAAAAAAAAAAAAAAAACTCAGTGAAATGCACAGTTATAAAAGCAGTGATAAACGCAGTCATAAACACAGTCATGAATGCAGTCCTAAACGCAGTCATAACCGTAGTTATATACGCGCAGTTAAACACAGCTAACCACAAAGTCAAAACACAAGTGATAAACACAGTTAAGAACAGGCAATTAAACGCACGGTTGAACAGAAGAAGAAGAAGACACAGTATTACATGGAGTGAACCATGTGGAATGCAGGCTCAATGGTTTTGGTTTCCAATCCACTTTCCACAGGGATCGTTGAGTGGAGGGAGCCAGGGGAGCAGAGGTGCACCCGCCTGGCCAGCTTGCTGCTTGCACTACAGAAACTTGTCCTAGAGGCTATAAATAGAATGTTGTAGACGAGGTGAACTGCACAGCCCTCAAGAATCATGGTGCGATACTTGCCTCAGGACTTCTACTTTCGTGAGGCCAAGCGGTTGGGATATGTAGCGCGCTCTGCTTTCAAATTGCTGGAGATCCAACAGAAACACAAGGTAGTCCCACGTGGAGGTGCTGTATTGGACCTGGGTTGTTCCCCCGGTGCTTGGCTACAGGTGTCCTGCCAAGCGTTGGGTTCGGCCAAGTACGGCGGGCGAGTTCTCGGGGTTGACTTGCAAGCCGTGGCCAAACGATTGCCGTTCTGTGACGGCCGTGTGCAGACGATCCGCGCAGATGCGTTTGACATCACAGCAGCACACCTCCTGCGCATCTCGCCGAACGGATTCAATGCTGTGCTTTCGGATATGTGCCCCTCCACATCAGGAGCTTCTTCTGCGGACGTGGCAAGGTCTCTAAGCCTTGCTGCGATCGCCTTTCAGCTTGCAGTAGGATCGCAGAAGGGCTTGCCAATTGACGGCGACACAGTTAAAGCGCAACCTGGAGGAGGAGGCAATGCTGCAGACACAACCAGTGTTGGATTAAATGACAGGGATGCATTTAGTAACAGGGCTATTATTAGATTTAATAACAAGGGTGGATTTGACAAGAGGGGTGGGTTTGATGACAGGGCTGGATTTGATTACAGGGGTGGATCTGAGAAGAGGGCTGGGTGTGATGACAGGGGAAGCTCGGCGGATACAGCAAAGGGCTCCTGCAGGGAATTTGACTCTGGGGTGCTGGAGGGAGAATTTCATGATGATGAATGTAGTAGCGATAGGGGGGTGCTGGTACCAAAAGGGCATATGGTCATAAAGCTTCTTGAAGGATCTGGCACGCGAGAGTTTGGAAGACTGTGTCGAGGGGTTTTCAATTCGATCACATGGGTGAGACCGGCAGCTACACGCTCAGCCTCCAGGGAGGTTTACTTGGTAGCAAAAGGGCGGAAGTAAGTAACAGCTACTGTAGTAAACAGCAAGAAACGGCAAGAAATGGCAAGTATCGGCAAGTCACGGGAAGTCACGGCAAGTCACGACAAGCAGTGGCAAGTAGCGGCATGCATTTTCTGTTGACTTCTCGATGGTTGCTCTGTCGTAATCGTGTTTACGACCTGTTGTGACTTGTCTGTGTTTTCTGTCCTTTCACTTTGAGGGTATTGAAGCATTTTTTTCTTTGTGTGTGTGGGAGAACTGGCATTATAGCGTTGCTCCAAATGGAATTTCCTGGTCAGTGTGGAAGTATTCATTTTGATCCCAAATGGCATAACTGGATGGCTCCATGCCGATGTGTTTGAGTTTGGATGCAGGGTTGCATCCCTGCCGACTGCCGACCCCGACTGCCGACCGTATTGCAGCCGACCAGTAGGGCTGACCGGTCGGCGGTCTGCCGACCAGTCAGAAAACAACCATCCACTGATTTTTTTTTCAAATCTGAGTTGGGGACTGTACTGTGCTTGCCGAGTACAGCCCAAATCCGCTGAGAAACTTTTGGGGATGGGGGGGATATGGGGGG